GGGCGAGAGATGCGAAAAGGAGCCCTCTCATCTTGCCTCCCAGGTCCACAGTGGGCAGTCACAGGGCAGCTCAGAACGAAGGAGCCGCTTATCTCCAGGCAACTCCTTTTCCTCCAGAGTTCACATCACCACTGTATCTTTGCGGCCACAGCCTTCCCTTGGAAGCCGCGGAAGGAAATGGGCCAGGGGCGAGGCTTGACCTAAACATCCTTGATTTGTGTAAAAGCCCGGAATCTTTGCTTTCCTTCTCTTTCCAGGAAATGAGCGGAGAAATGCCCACATATGTTGTTCAGTCGCACAGTCGAGTCTGACTCTTCGCGACCCCATGGACCACATCACGCCAGGCCCTCCTGTCTTCCGTCGTGCTCCGGAGTTTGCTCAACTTCATGTTCGTTGCCTCGATGACACTGTCGGACCATCTCATCCTTTGCCGTCCTCGTCTTCTTTGACCTTCAGTCTTTCCCAGCATCAGGGTCTTCTCCAGCGAGGGCTCCCTTCTCATTGGGTGGCTAAAGGATTCAGCATCAGTCTCTGGCCTTCCAGGGAACAGTCAGGGTTGGTTTCTTTTAGGATTGACTGATTTGATCTTCTTGCAGTCCAAAGAGTTTTCTTCAGCACCATAATTCAAAAGAATCTATTCTTTGTCGCTCGGCCTTCCTTATAGTCCAATTCTCGCAGCCATACAATAGTACTGGACTTTGACCATGCGGACTTTTGTTGGCAGGGTGATGTCTCTACTTTTTATTATGCTGTCAAGGTTTGCCATCGCTTTCCTCCCAAGGAGCAGGCATCTTTTAATTTCATGGCTGCAGTCTTTGATTACAGCAGCCAGGATGTTACTAGCTAAATTCTGGAAGAAAGAAGATTTACCCTCTCAAAAAGAATACATAGCCAAAATTATTGAAGTGGCGGAAATGGATAATCTGACCACAAAGCTGCGAGGTAAAGAAGATAAGACTTTTCAAAATATCTGGTCAAGATTCTACAGTTGGTTGGATAAGAATACGCAATTGGACTAGTGACAAAAGATCTAACTTAAGCAGAAACATTACACATGTGAGAAAGGACCCTTTGAATGCTGTTATTTTCGTTTATGTTCATATTTTGTTTATGGTGTAATTATTATAAATAATAAAAAGGGGGGGGATAATAATTTCATGGCTGCAGTCACCGTCTGCAGTGATCTTGGATCCCAGGAACATGAAGTCTGTCACTGCTTCCATGACTTCTTCTATTTGCCAAGGAGTGATGGGGCCGGATGCCATGATCTTCATTTTTTTGATGTTGAATTTCAAGCCAACCTTTGCACTCTCCTCTTTTACCCTCAGCAAGAGGGTAAATCCTGTTGAAGACTTGGTTATTGTTTCAGTGTCAAGGTTTCTGCTTTGCTACATTTAGCCAATTGCCCTGATTTGCACCACATTCATTTGTGTGTGTGTGTGAAGGAGAATTCTAATAGTTTAAGCAACTTTCCTTTTTCAAGTACCTTTCTTTCCTATTGAAAATACAAGCAGGTACTGTATTTGGAAAAACTGCTTTTGGAGAGTCGCTGTACCACAGTGACATGTACAAGTGGGTGTGAGCCTTCTTTCTCATCTCTGAAAGGTGGTGGAGGGTGATAATCATGCAGCGCACAGGGTTAAAACTGTGCAGAGTCATGCCATTTCTGTGTGATGGGAAGAAGAAGGCAATTGCATGTTAATAGGCATGTTTAAATGTTGCTGCAGACTCCCCACCTGACAGAGGAGGGCACTCTCAAAAATTGGGGGGTGCCCCCAATCACTCCTAAGAGGTGCCTGGAGGTCCGTCTCCATGAGACGTGCTGATAGAGGGGTCACATGTCACCCCGAATATAAACCAAGTGTTGGTTGGGCTGGCCTACCTTGCAGGGCTGGTGTTGGGCAAAAAATGCCAAAACAGCTCCTGCTGCCCCCCCCCCAAATTTCCAAAAACACCACCTAGCTCACCCATTACCGCTGTAAAAAGAGGGGGACAGATAGGAAATAATACTAAAACAGTATAGCCTAGGGTGTCAAACATGCGGCCTGCGGGCCAGATTAGGCCCCCGAAGGGCTTCTGTCAGGCCCGCAGTGGCACTGGCTGTCTTCTGCTTCTTCTTCCAGTTCCGCTGCTGCTGCATCATCGTAGGTTTGCAGCTTACAGATACACACCTGAACAGCAGACTCAAGATTGCAACAGCACATACCTTTTGATGCAATCATCCTGAGCAAGAGATGTCAGTGATCAGACACTGTTAAATAAACAAAATATGGCAAAAGTGCTAATGTTTTAAGCGTGTTTTTATTTTAAGTTAAAAAAAAACCCTTTGTGTTTGTGTCCTTTATAAAGTTTATATCTCCACTACCTGGCATTACATTTTATGACACACATGGCCCGGCCCAGCAAGGTCTCATTTATGTCATATCCGGCCCTCATAACAAATGAGTTCGACACCCCTGGTATAGCCCATCAAAAGCCCATAGAGACACTGATTTATTAAGAACCCCAAGGTTTGAGAATGAAGCCGCGAAACAATTTATAACCTACTTTTTGAATCGATGTAGGGGAGCCAACAACAGCAGCAAAACAGCCTTGCTACCATGATGTATATATTTTAAAACCTTTAACATTAGGAACCCCCCAAACATTCAGTAAAACCATAGAACTCATGCTTCACTCACTTGCTGCCTTGTGTGCTTATCTGCAACACCAGCTGTCTCAGCCTTTTGCTCTACTCCAACCCCACCCACCCTCTGGCTGGATAGTCCTCCCTCTAGTATCAGTTTTGAATTTTTCTGCACATACAAAGGGGCTTTGAATTTGTTTTTATACAACCACTTCTTGATTTTATTTATTTATTTATACAAAACCTTTCGTTTTTTTTTTTTTATTGATCACTCTTTTTACATTGCACGCAGGCACTACAGGGAAAAGAGTCCAGCAGCTTAAAAACTAACACAGCTACTTATCTTGTACGTCCTCATTGCAAGCAACACACTACAGGGCCTTCAAGCCTCTCCCATTGTTTCCAGTGGGCAATCCTGTCATTCCTTTTAGTGCATCCCTCTCTACGGTGCTGCTACTACTAAAGGTAAAGGTAAAGGTTTCCCTTGCTCGAAAGCCAGTCGAGTCCGACTCTAGGGTTGCGGTCCTCATCTCCGTTTCCAAGCCGAAGAGCCAGCGCTGTCCGAAGACTTCTCCGTGGTCATGTGGCCGGCATGACTAAACACCAAGGCGCACGGAACACTATTCCCTTCCCACCGAAGTGGTACCTATTTATCTACTTTCGAACTGCTAGGTTGGCAGGAGCTGGAACTAGAGACGGGAGCTCACTCCGTCATGCGGCACTCGGGTCTCGAACTGCTGAACTACCGAACTTCCACAGCCTGCAGTTCAGCATCTTAACCATTTGAGCCACCGCAGCAGCAGGAGCTGCTGCTACTACTACTACTACTGGGCTCCAATCTATTTGTGGAGACGATGGCCCAATAATCCTTAAAAAAAGAGGCAAAACAATAAACCTGTGTGTTACTGTGTGCAACGGCCGCCAGGTCTTAAAAAGAAGTCTGTTGTTCTTTAGACTAGACTCTCCTGTTGCTTTTGTCACACCCCAAAGCACCTCACAACCAATGTTCCCTCTAAGCTGTTGAGTCTTGTGAGCAAAAATTCTACTTTGTGAGCGACTGGCATTAAAGTTGTAAGCCAGTGATTTGGCGACTGCATAAATGAGTTTGCTCTGGAGCCCTCCTTCCTGAGCTAAGACAAAAATGTGTGAGCTGGAGGCTAAAAAACGGTGAGCTAGCTCACACTAACTGCTCACAACCTGCAATTGGTTCCGAGCACTCAGACAAGCTATCCGGGACTACATTTCCCATGATGCCTTCCAGCTACCCTGCACAGGGAAGCGGTTGACAAGTCCCAGGGCTTCTGGGAGTTCAAGCTGTTCCAGGAAGCACACAGCCTCTTTAGATCACCTCTGTCGTATTAGAAACTGCAGCATTTTATCTGTTAGCTCAAGATTCCTGAGCCTGGGTTGCAGTGAGCCCTATACCCAGTGGAATGCCTTCCCAACGTTCTGCATGCGGAAGTGTTAGTGAGTATTCCTTCTACTACTCTGTGTGTGTGTGAGTGTGAGTGAGTGAGGATTTGTGACTTCTCAAGTGGGGAAAAAATGCTGTTCAATTTGACCAAGTTCTCACCCTTTTGAGATGAAGCGTATTTCCATGCAAGAGCATGAAACTTAAAAAGCGCCTACTAAAATGAATGACCACTAGCACAGAACGCAGAAGAAGAGATTGGATTTATACCGCGCCCTTCACACTTGAGCTGTGGTGGCTCAAGTGGTTAAGACGCTGAACTGCAGGCTGTGGAAGGTCAGCAGTTCGAGACCCGAGTTACCGCATGACGGAGTGAGCTCCCGTCTCTAGTTCCAGCTCCTGCCAACCTAGCAGTTCGAAAGCAAGAAACTGCAAGTAGATAAATAGGTACCACTTCGGTAGGAAGGTAACAGTTCCGTGCGCCTTGGTGTTTAGTCATGCTGGCCACATGACCACGGAAACGTCTTCGGACAGCGCTGGCTCTCCGGCTGTGAAACGGAGATGAGCACCGCAACCCTAGAGTCGGATTCGACTGGCTTTCGAGCAAGGGAACCTTTACCTTCACTACCCAAAGGAGTCTCAGAGCGGCTTACAATCTCCTTTCCCTTCCCCTCCCCACAACAGACACCCTGTGAGGTCAGTGGGGCTCAGAGAGCTCTTCCCAGAACTGCTCCTGAGAGATCAGCTCTGAAAGAACTTGTGACTCACCCAAGGTCATCCAGCAGCTGGAAGTGGAGGAGTGGGGAATCGAACCTAGTCATCCCAAAGTAGAGTCCACGCTCCTAACCACTACATCAAACTGGCTCTCAGTAGGTCTGCCATTGTCAAAAAGGGCCTTATATGCTTCCTTCTTTTTCATGTGCAGTCTCACAGCTCCTCCTGGGTGCTTTCAGTTAATGCAAATCCGCTTGCTGATAGGAGAGGAGGGACTTAACGGAGCGCAGCTTGCATAACTCACATTTGTTGTGGCTGGAGTGCCGGGGTTGTGGCCGCTGTCATGGGACTGCGGGGGATAAAAGCCATTTTCTTTGACTTGGCCAACACACTGATCAACATGGCCGCGTCAGGCAGGAGAGCCGTTGAGGAGGTGATTGATGCCTTACAATCGGAGCATCGCTGCAATGAGAGAGAAGCTCACATGATCTGTGATAAGAAGAAGAGAAGAAATTGGATTTATTCCCCACCCTTCACTACCCAAAGGAGCCTCAGAGCGGCTTACAAACTCCTTTCCCTTCCCCTCCCCACAACAGACACCCTGTGAAGTAGGTGGGGCTGAGAGAACTCTGACAGAAACTGCTCTTTTTCAAGAACCGCTGTGCCAGAACTATGGCTTGCTCAAGGTCATCCAGCAGCTGCAGGTGGAGGAGTGGGGAATCAAACCTGGTTCTCCCAGATTAGAGTCTGCGCTCCTGATGTACAGAAAATAATCTTGTCCGAGTGTGTGTGTTTCCCCAGCCCAATTTGAGAAAACACTCAGTACAATCCTGTAGAAGAAGAAGAAGAGAAGAGATTGGATTTATACCCCGCCCTTCACTACCCAAAGGAGTCTCAGAGCGGCTTACAAACTCCTTTTCCTTCCCCTCCCCACCACAGACGTCCTGTGAGGTAGGTGGGGAGAGCTCTGACAGAAACTGCTCTTTTTCAAGAAGAGCTCTTATTAGAGCTACGGCTTGCCCAAGGTCATCCAGCCAGGTGCAAGTGGAGGAGTGGGGAATCAAACCCGGTTCTCCCAGATTAGAGTCTGCACACTTAACCACTACACCAAACTGGCTCTCCTGGAGTGGTTGGGCTCTGCGTTCACCAGTGGTGCAGGTGGATGGGGTGGGAGGAGAAACGACCTGGGGAAAGGACCTCGCACCCCATCCATGGGCAGACGTTTGCAGCATTGAGAAGTATGCTGTCAGCATAGTCTGGGTTGTGTCAGGCTGTCGATGACGATAATAATATTGATATTGGTGTTAATATTTATGTTGATGTTGGGGCCGCCAGGGCCTCGCTTTATGTAGTGCATCCTGGTGGAAGAGCTCTGTCTTACAGGCCCCGCGGAACTGCAATACATGATCATTCCAAGACGTGTACTACTGACCTCAGGATTCAACCCTGGGAAGAAGCTATACGAGAAACCAAGGGAGGACAAGCCAATCGGAATCTGGCTTCGGAGGGCTGTTTCCTTTGGAAAACCACCCACCTGAGATATTTGACCTTAGCGGAAGAGACCAGAGGGGGTGCTCAGGGACCAGTGTTCCCTCTAAGCTGAGTTAGTGTGAGCTAGCTCACAGTTTTTTAGCCTCTGGCTCACACATTTTTGTCTTAGCTTGAGACGGATGGCTCCAGAGCAAACTAATTTATGCATGAGCCAAATCACTCGCTCACCGCTTTAATGCCAGTAGCTCACAAAGCAGAATTTTTGCTCATAAGACTCCACAGCTTAGAGGGAACATTGTCAGGGGTTTGCGTCTGCTGACCAATGGAGACACCCAGACACAGAGAGAAAAGCCTGAAGCCTGCGCCTGCCAGCCCTACTTTGATGCTATTGTAGTTGGTGGAGAACAGAAAGAATAGAAACCGGCCTCATCCATATTTCATCAGTGCTGCCGAACTTCTGAGTGTTCAGCCTGAGGATTGTGGTCGGTGACTCTCTAGATACAGACATTCAAGGAGGCCTGAATGCATGTTTGAAAGCAACGGTGTGGATAAACAGAACAGGAACTGACCCAAAAGACACGTCTCCAGTCTCCCACTATATAATTTCTTCTGTTCTTGATCTCCCTGGGTTGTTACAGAACAGTAGGGTTGCTAGTTCAGGAATCCACAGTGGCTAGCAACTGCAAAGTGTGGGTTTGGGTCAGTGATGATGCTGGGTCTTTAGGTTACTAGTGGCAGCTCCGGAGCATATTTTCACATGTGGGGTGCAAAGTCACATATGTATTCTCAACAGGGCTATTTTTGGGCAGGAACGCACAGGAACGGAGTTCCGGCTGGCTCCCAAGTTGGCCACGCCCAGCAGGAACTCATTAGCATAATAGGCCACACCCAACAGCAGAAGCTCATTAGGATTGGCTACATTAGGGGTGTGTGGCCTAACATGCAAAGGGTTCCTGCTACAAAAAAAGCCCTGGGTTTTGACAACAAACAAGGTAAACAGAATAAGAAGCAAAAGGTGGGTGTGGCTGGATGGCCATGCTTCTGGTAACATGGGGGTGCGGCCTATTATGTTAATGTGCGGTGCTGTCAGGGGGTGTGGCTTAATATGCTAATGAGTTCCTGCTGTTGGGTGTGGCCTATTATGCTAATGATTCCCCACTCGAAGCCGTGCGGCGGCCACATTTTGACCCACGGCTTCACCTGATTTTCCCTGCGGTTTTTCATGATCGTGGGTTTTTAAAAAATATTTTTATTGAGTTTTCACTATAATGCACAAATTTATAACATATCTAAAATAAACAATCCATCCAGTTAACACCCTATACAACAAAAATCTTCTCAACAGCAGCAAATCAAACAAGCATAATTACATTTTTCTTCTAGTTAATCACTAAATAGAGTAATTATCGAGTACATACTCCCATTAGTAATAATTTTTAAGATTCTCATAATCAACATTGTTCTCTTGAAACAAATGCTGAAAAAAATCCTACTTACTCCGATATACAATAGATTTCATGTTTCTATGATAATAAACGTAAGTCATAGGTTTTGAGTTTTTATGTTATTTGGATTTAATTTTTTTAAAATTTTTGTTATTATTATTTCAATATTTCCATTGTCTACCTCCCAACTGTTCAAGTCACGGTTGTCCTTTAACGAATTTAGTAACATCTTTAATACATTTTGCTTTGAGAGAGTACTCTAACTTCCAGTCTTCTACATTCATTTCTTACATATTTTCCATACATTAATTTCTAGTATATTATACCACTATACCTGATCCTTTTTTTATACAACATACATTCCCCAAAATTTACTATCACCTGCCTAATTATTCATTCCCACCTTTGCTTAAGATTAACTTACCCCTCTTCCCAAAATTTACTATCACCTGCCTAATTATTCATTCCCACCTTTGCTTAAGATTAACTTACCCCTCTTCCCAAAATTTACTATCACCTGCCTAATTATTCATTCCCACCTTTGCTTAAGATTAACTTAACCCTCTTCCCAAAATTTACTATCACCTGCCTAATTATTCATTCCAACCTTTGTTTTTTGAGGATCACGTAACCGCGGGGAAAATCGGGCGAAGCTGCGGGTCAAAATGCGGCCGTGTGTCTTCGAGTGGGGAATTGACCAATGGAAACGGGGCAGAGGGAGGCGCGACGGTGGCGCAGCTCCTTGTGCGAAATCAGCCCAGGTGTCCCTCAATCTCTTTAAAATAAATTTTCAGTGGCTGAAATCTGACAAAGGAAGCTCTGACTCTTTGAAGTGTATACACCAAGAACATAAGAACATAAGAGATGCCAATGTTGGATCAGGCCAAAGGCCCATCCAGTCCAACACTCTGTGTCACACAGTGGCCAGAAATACCACGTGCCATCAGGAGGTCCACCAGTGGGGCCAGGACATTAGAAGCCCTCCCACTGTTGCCCCCCCCCCCAGCACCAAGAAGACAGAGCATCACTTGCCCCAGAGCCCCTAGCTATACCTTGTGGCTAATAGCCACTGATGGACCTCTGCTCCATATGCTTATCTAATTCCCTTTTGAAGCAGTCCATGCTTGTAGCCGCCACCACTTCCTGTGGCAGTGAATTCCAAGTGTGAATCACTCTTTGGGTGAAGAAGGAATTCCTTTTATCCATTCTAACACTGAAAGTCTTGGTCTCTGTGGTGCTACTGGCATCTTCTGGGCATGGAACAGGGGTCACTGGGTGTCTGTGGGGAGGAGGTATTTGTGAATGTCTTGCATTGTGCAGGGGGTTGGACTAGATGACCCTGGAGATCCCTTCCAACTCTATGAGTCTATGACTTGAGGAAGTTCCACTGCGGCCAAAATCAGCAATGCCTGGTTTATGGAACATTGTCCTCAAAGATATGTTAGTGTTAACCTTTTTTTGAAATGCTATATTTAAAATTTTTGAACGTCTGGGTTGCTATGGCTTATACCTAGGGCTGCCAAGTCCCCCTGGGGGGCAGATTTCCCCCCGCTTTGGAGGCCTGATTTCCGCCGCCGTGGAATTGGGCCCCGGGGCGAACCCCACCCCGGCGTGCACGTCACCCGGAGGTGACATGATAACGCCGGGCACGCTGGGGGCGGGGCCACAGCCATCTGAGGGGATCAGATGGCTGTGGCCCCGCCCCCAGCATGCCCGGCGTCATCACGTCACATCTGGGTGACATGCATGCGGCGTGTGCGTGCTTTGTGCGCGCAGAAGACACCGACCGGGAGCCCGCCCGCCACGGACGGAAAAAAAAATTGGCAACCCAGCTCATACCCTTTATAGTTAATGCTTGCTCCACGTGTTCCTGGCTTGGACTTGTTGTTTGATAAAGACCAATTTCCCCTCCTTTTTATAATTGGGTTAAAACACAGATAACACAAACGTTCAAAATACGAATAACTCACCTGTCCATGTTATGATCTCTCTTCTTCCTTTTAATGTTTTCCAGTGCGTTTTGTTAAAAAAGGGGACGAGTTTTAATTCAACCTCGATTGGCACATTTCCCATCAAGTTTTTGAGCTCTCCCACAGCCAAAAGAAACTGAAAAATCAGAGGCCGGCTTGAGCCACTTCCTTCAGTTTAAGGGGGTGCGTATTCCAAGATGATGGAGGTTAAAACGGCCGCCCAGGAGGGAGACTTGCTAGAGCCACTGCTGCGCCTGAGGCGACAGTTTGGTCGCATACCTCATGGGACGCAGCCGCCATCTCAAGGGTTTGGAGAAGAAACTGTGACGGCCGTCGAATTTACGAGCACCGAGAAGAAAGAGAAGCCCCTTCCCAGACTTAACGTCCATTCCGCTTTCTGGATTGTGGCCTCGATCGCGGTCACCTATTATGTCGAGTTTTTTAAAGCTGTGAAAGAGATGATTCAGATGGAGAGCGGCTGGTTGATGCTCGGCGGCTGGCTGTTGCTGGGGAGCCTGTCCGTGGCCTTCTACTGCATCATCTACCTCGAGTGGTACCGCGGGATTGAAGACTACGACACGGCCTACCCGGCCCTGATCCCCATCACGACGGCCTCTTTCCTCGCGGCGGCCATTTGCTTCAACGTCGCCTTGTGGTCCGTGTGGTCTTTCCTCACTCCTCTGGTGCTCTTCACCCAATTCATGGGGGTCGTGATGTTCATCTCGCTCCTGGGATGAGGCCAAAAAACTGAGGGGCTCCGGGGGGCTTGGAGAACAGGGTTCCATTCAATCGTCACCCCCTCCCCCAGTCCCACCTGTATGCTAACCTTGGGATCGGTACCGAATCGGACAAAGATACAGAGTCCTGTTGCATTAAGCAGCCTGTTGCAAAACGACAAGGAGACCAAGTCTTTACTAACATTTTACAGAATGCTTCATGCAGAGTACCGCTAACACAATTTAAATGCTTCCACGACATTGTTTAACAACGAACTGGGAACCAGATAGATGTTACAGCCGTTCTATTGACTTTTTCCTCACTGAAGACAGGGGAAGCACGCCTGCCTGTTTGGTGTAGTGGTTAAGAGCGGCGGACTCTAGTCTGGAGAACAGGGTTCGATTCCCCACTCCTCCATATCCAGCCAGCTGGGTGACCTTGGGTCAGTCACAGTTCTCTCAGAGCTGTTCTCTCGAGAGCAGTTCTCTCAGAGCTCTCTCGGTCCCACCAACCTCACAGGGTGTCTGTTGTGGGGAGGGGAAGGGAAGGAGACTGTAAGCCACTCTGAGACTCCGAGTGAAGGGTGGGGTATAAAAACCCAACACTTCTTCTTGATTATAAATAATTTCTCCTTTGTTCAAGTCGAAAGTTAAACCGTTTTCTATTGCTCAAGATAATTTAATTCAGTGTTAGGATCTGTCCTTTTTTCCTCAAAGCCAATATGGCCCTGAATGATTTGAGCAGCCTGTGGATTAAAGCTTTCTCTAGACAGAAAGCAAACCATTGTCATTTGTCATGGGGTTCCTTTTAAAAACTAGCAATTCTGTGGGGAAAGTGTAGCGTGGAGGCATTATGTGTTTTCCCCAGTAATCGTTTGGATACCAACGGATCGTAGAAGCCGGAGTGAAGAATTAAAGAGAAAATTTTGGGTACGTACAGGAGTGTGCATCTGTTTTGCAAGCTAAAATCTGTAAGATGAGTCCCCAGTGTGGTGCCTCTGGGCATATTTCCTGGTGCCCCCCAAGGGGACCGGTTGGCAGCAGCTGCCACCACAACACGAGGATCTTCAGAAGCTAACTGAAAGGAAGCCATGGCGGCCATTTTGTGACCCTCTGGAGGTAGCCATTTTGTGGTTGTGCCCATCAAACTGTGTCAGAATTCTAAAGGTGCCCACAGGCTCAAAAAAGGTTAGGGGATCCCTGCTGTAGGAGGTGGTGGAGAAAGGGGCGAGAGAGGTGAGCAGGCACAATATGGATCTGCTTCCTGAACGATTTGGGGATATCACCATCAAGGCTCCCTCTAAGCTGTGGAGTCCTGTGAGCAAAAATTTTACTTGGTGAGCTCCTGGCATTAAAGTTGTGAGCGAGCGATTTGGCTGCTGCATGAATTCGTTTGCTCTGAAGCCCTCCTTCCTGAACTACGACAAAAATCTGTGAGCCGGAGGCTAAAAAACGGTGACCTAGCTCACACTAACTCAGCTTAGAGGGAACACTGATCACCATGCTCTGTTACACTTTGCTCCAACTCCTTGGAGCGGTTCCCAAGAGCCCACCGTGGCAGCCCGGTAGTTGTCAGTTCTGTGGGTCTGTCATAGGGGAAATTGCCTCAGTGACACACTGTCACGACTGGGTGCAGGAGAACTGTTTATTCGACGCCAGGGCAGTCATCAAGTGCGCAAGAGGCCAAGGAAAGGAAGATACAGCAGTGCTGACGGAGGTGGGCAGGCCACTCCCACGAAAGGCAGACATGAGTGGGGTCCCCGCCCATCGAGGTCACATGACCTGGAGCACTCCCCTGGTCCCCCAGGGAAGTCATCCCCACCAAGGCGACTGCAATACAAAACGCCCAACGCTGGGGATAGGAAGGGAATTGAGAACAGATCTGCCACTGTCATAATGCCCCTGTATAAATCGATGGTGTGATCTCATTTGGAGTACTGTGTACAGTTCTGGTCACCACACCTCAGAAAGGATATTATAGCATTGGGAAAAGTGCAGAAAGGGGCAACTAGGGTCCCTGCCACATGGCAGGAAAAAAACCGGGCAAAGTGCGGCTTTTAAAAGCCGCACCAAAATAGAGACGCCGCGGCGGGATCCCACGGATCCCCTGAGCTGCGGCGCCGTTGCTCCCTGGCACGATGATATGCCAGGGAAGAAGCGACAGTCGGGAGGGGGAGGCTGCCGAACTGCACATGTCTGAGCATGCGCAGTTTGGCCAGGAGCCAGGGATGAGCTGGCGGAAGGACGTGCCGGCGATCCCACGGCCGGCCTTGATGCGCCCTTTTCCGAAGAACCACCTAGGTAGGTGGTTTATTTTTGATGCGGGGTTTTGGGTGGAAGGGCCGGATCGGGAACGGGCGCGCCACGCTTCCCAGATGTTGCTGTGGGATCGCGCCCGTTTGCTGCGCCCCCGATCTGTCCCTCTCCCGGCCCAAAACCTCTCGTGTGACCGGGGCCTCCAATGATCAAAGTGTTGCAACACTTTCCCTATGAAGAAAGGTTAAAGAGGTTAGGCTCTTTAGCTTGGAGAAATGACGGCTGAGGGGTGACATGATCGAGGTTTATAAGATTATGCATGAGATACAGCAGGCCGAGAAAGAAGTACTTTTCTCCCTTTCTCACAATACAAGAACTCCTTGTGGGCACTCGAAATTGCTGAGCAGTCGGGTTAGAACAGATGGAAGGAAGTACTTCTTCACCCAAAGAGTGTTTAACACATGGACTTCACTGCCACAGGAGGTGGTGACTACAAACATGGATGGCTTCAAGAGGGAACTGGATAAAGATATGGATCAGAGGTCCATCAGTGGCTATTAGCCACAAGGTATAGATAGGAACTCTCAGTATGGGGCAAAGGATGCCCTGTATTCTTGGTGCTTGGGGGTGGGGCAACAGTGGGAGGGCTCCTAGTGTCCTGGCCCCACTGCTGGACCTCCTGATGGCACCTGGTATTTTTGGCCACTGCCGACACAGAATGTTGGACTAGATGGGCCATGGGCCTGATGCAACATTGGCTTCTCTTATGCTCTTAAAGGTTGAGCCCACATCAAGGAAAATGCTGCTGCCTTGTCTTAAATCAAACTACCAGTCTATCAAAATATTGATTAAATGACCACTGATGCTACTATCCATGGCTATAAGGGGGTATCTGGCGGCCATTGGTAGGTGAAACTATGAAGTTACTCAGAAGCAGGTGTCGCTAGGTTTAAGAGGACTTACACTTGAGTAAGCACACGGAGGGTTGCGGCAATGACAGCACGCAGGGCCCTAGTGCTTATACTTGAATGTGGCAGACAGAATTCGCCTCTAGGGTTGCCAAGTATGAGTACAAAAATACCTGGAGACTTTGGGGGTGGATCCGGGAGAGGGCGGGGTTTGGGGAGGGGAGGGGCCTCAGCAAGATCCAATACCATGGAGTCTACCCTTCAAAGCAGCCATTTTCTCCAGGGGAGCTGATCTGTCATCTGAGGATCAGTTGTAAAAGCTGGAGATCTCCAGGTCCCACCTGGAGGCTGGCAACCCTACACCTCCCCCAAAAAAAGCTTATTAGAGTCTCTGGTCCCAAGTCTGGAAACACAAGTTAGAAGCCGCCTCTGAAATAAACCATCGATAAATAATATCTCAGCATGTGTTTCAACTCAAGAGGTGGCAGAAACTACCAATCCCAGAACACATTGCAACAATTTCTGCCACGGTGCATGTTGGGAATGGTAGTCCAAGCCATTTGGCTGCCAGACTAGAAAAGTCTTGTGTCTGGCACATGCTATGCGGTAACAACTGGAAGCTAAGGAAAGCGTATGTAGCTGCTGAAGAGTTAAGGGTGGGTTACTTCGTGTCACTTGAGATGCATGCTTTAGAGCATGTTGCGGTCGGGTTGCCAGGTCTGGGTTGGAAAATACCTCGAGACTTTGGGGGTGGAGCCAGGAGAGGGAGGGGAGGGGCCTCAGCAGGGTACCATGCCAGAGTCCACCCTCCAAAGCAGCCCTTTTCTAAAGGGGAGCTGATCTCTGTCAGCTGGAGAGCAGCTGTGAAGGTGGGAGATCCCCAGGCCCCACCTGGAGGGCTGGCAACCCTAGTACAGCCCAGCGCAAAGCGGGGGCTAACCTGGACCTTGTCCGCCTCCAGACATACGTTTCCTCCCATAAAAATCCCTAATTGTCTGGGTATGGCTGCCCCCTTGCGGAGGCAGAAGCTGCACATTTGTCTCCCGCGAGTTGCTTTGGCCTATGATCTTTTATGAAGAAGAAGAAGAAGAAGAGATTGGATTTATACCCCACCCTTCACTACCCAAAGGAGTCTCAGAGCGGCTTACAAACTCCTTTCCCTTCCCCTCCCCACAACAGACACCCTGTGAGGTGGGTGGGGCTGAAAGAGCTCTGAGAGAAACTGCTCTTTTTCAAAGACAGCTCTGACAGAACTACAGCTTGCCCAAGGTCATCCAGCAGCTGGAAGTGGAAGAGTGGGGAATCAAACCCAGTTCTCCCAGATTAGAGTCCGCGCACTTAACCACTGCACCAAACTGGCTCTCCTGGAGTGGTTGGGCTCTGCGTTCACCAGTGGTGCAGGTGGATGGGGTGGGAGGAGAAACGACCTGGGGAAAGGACCTCGCACCCCATCCAACCTCTCCCTCCTCCCAAGGAAGGCAGGAAGGTGGGTGCAACGAGGCCCGCTCCTGAAGGATGGTTAGATAGGGTTGCCACGTCTGGGTTGGAAAATACCTGGAAACTTTGGGGGTGGATCCAGGAGAGGGTGGGATTTGGGGAGGGGAGGGGCCTCGGCATGGTCCAGTGCCACTGAGTCCACCCTTCAAAGCAGCCATTTTCTCCAGGGGAGCTGATCTCTGTCGTCTGGGGATCAGTTGTAAAAGCGGGAGATCTCCTGGCCCCACCTGGAGGTAGGCAACCCTATGTTTAGAAAGGGTAGTGTTCCATCTGCCTGGACCTCACGCCTATTATTTGGCCAAAAGGGAGGTCTGAAGGTCTTGGGAGGGTGCTCTGGGCCTTCTCAAGGGATCCTAATTTCAGAGTGGTGGCAGCGTCAGGTGACACCCCCACCTGAGCCATGACATGCCTTATTGTGGGTTTCTAAATTATTCGATAAGAGTTGAGCCTATTTTTTAAAGTCTCAAAGGGCGGTGATTATCCCTTCTCTAACTCTTTTTGTAAGGTTGAAAAGAGCAGAAAAAATACAGCAATTTTTGTATTTTCAAAACTGGAAGTTAAGATTAGTTGTCACACCAGTAAAAGTCAAAAGAGCCAAACTTGGGAGGCACTCCCTAGAGGACTGAGGATACGTAACCAGTCCCAAATCTGTAAACACAAGTAACATACTTGAAAAAGATTGTGTGTAAGCCGCTCAGAGCCCCTTCGGGGTTCGAGCGGGATATAAATTGAATGATAAATAAATAAATAAAAATATTCTTGAAAATTAAAGCATAACTCAACTTTGTGAGATCAGAATCTGTATTTCAAGCAGGCCTGCAGCTACAGTGGGGCCTTTCCCCCCCTCCCGACTTCCTACCAAGGCCCCCTGACTTCCTTTCCGCCCAGGTCCCCCAACTCTCTGGTAAGAGGCAGCGGCCACTGTGAACTTCCCTGTGCTGCCCTGGCCACCGCTTCTCCTTACCTTCCCCCTGTGCCGCACCTTTCTCCCCTGCCCTGCACCAATCAAGTTAATTACATTTAATTAGGGCTGCCAGGTCCTCTGGGGGGGCGGAGATTCCCCCGCTCAAAGGGCCCCCAATCCGCTGGTCCAGATCTGGCCGGCAGGGGGAACCCCACCTCTGAAGTGGCCAGATCGGGCCGATGTGCCCGGTGCAATGACATCACCCGGAAGTATCATTGTCAGGGCTATTTTGGGGCAGGAACGCACAGGAATGAAGTTCCGGCTGGCTCCTGAGTTGGCCACACCCAGCAGGAACTAATTAGCATAATAGGCCACACCCAACAGCAGAAACTCATTAGGATTGGCTACATTAGGGGTGTGTGGCCGAACATGCAAAGAAGTTCCTGCTACAAAAAAAGCCCTGGCCGTTTTGAGAATAAACAAAGTAAACAGAATAAGAAGCAAAAAGTGGGTGTGGCTGGATGACCACACTTCTGACAACATGGGGGTGCGGCCTAATGTGCTAATGAGCGGTGCTGTCAGGGGTGTGGCCCAATATGCTAATGAGTTTCTGCTGTTGGGTGTGGCCTATTGTGCTAATGAGTTCCTGCTGGGCTTTTTCTACAAAAAAAGCCCTGAACGTCGTCATGCTAGAGTGTCGCCCGGTGATGTGCCCAGCGTGATGATGTCACTATCGGGCGACACCACTTCCGTGCAACGTCATTGCGGTGCGCGTGCAAACGTCCCGGACTGGGACCACTGCTCCCCCGCTAAAGCTGGTAAGTCACTTGGCAACCCTACATTTAATTGAATTAACCAGTGCCCCCCAAGGAATTTAAAGGCCCCCCCAACTTAGAAATTCCTGGCTACGGGCCTGATTTCAAGATCTCCATTCATTCAGGTTCTGAGCTTTAATTTTGAGTTGTGTGTCAGTGTAAAGGTAAAGGTAAAGGTTCCCTTGCTCGAAAGCCAGTCCAGTCCGACTCTAGGGTTGCGGTGCTCATCTCCGTTTCCAAGCCGAAGAGCCAGCGCTGTCCGAAGATGTTTCCGTGGTCATGTGGCCGGCATGACTAAACACCAAGGTGCATGGAATGCTGTTCCCTTCCCACCTAAGTGGTTCCTATTTATCTACTTGCAATTTCTTGCTTTCGAACTGCTAGGTTGGCAGGAGCTGGAACTAGAGATGTGAGCTCACTCTGTCTTGCGGCACTCGGGTCTCAAACCGCTGAACTACCAAACTCCCACAGCCTGCAGTTCGGCGTCTTAACCACTTGAGCCACCGCAGCTCCTGGATACGGTGTCAGTGTACCGATGTTATATATTACAAATGTTTGACCCAATGTGGGTTTCGATGTGGGTTTATTCCAAATTGTCGCTTTGGGGGACCAAACAGATTGGTCTCATCTGAAGCTACTGAATTTTTTAACCGAAAAGAACATTTTCTGTCTCATCACCGCCAGCTCTTATTCTAGTGACTGCAATATGGAGTTCTATTCTGCTGCTTCTCATAACCAGTGCTTTTTGTGTACAAGACAAATATGTACATTGTCATCTAATCCCCCTAACCCCCCCCCCCCCCGGTTTGGCAGTTATTCTTTGAAGATGTCAAAAGTTTGTGCCATTTTTGGAGGATCTCGGGGAATTGGACAGGCTACTGCACAGCTACTGGCACAGAAAGGATATTGTCTGGCTGTTATTGCAAGGAATTTGGACATTGCTCAAACCACTGCAAAAAACCTGGGAGGTATGCTTACTCTTATGTTGGCTTTTCACATGTCTCAGATGAAATATCAAAACAAAACACTTTCTTTTCTAGTCTTGAAGAAAATAGCGGCAACATTATTTCAGACCTTACAAATAAGATCCTATCATTCATTTCATGAAATAGTATAAACTAAGGACTTGGTTCTAAGTTGATAAATGTCAGCAATGCTCCCTCTAAGCTGTGGAGTCTTGTGAGCAAAAAATTCTACTTTGTGAGCGACTGGCATTAAAGTTGTGAGCGAGCTATTTGGTGACTGCATAAATGAGCTCACTCTGGAGCCATCCTTCCTGAGCCAAGACAAAACTGTGTGAGCTGGAGGCTAAAAAACTGTGAGCTAGCTCACACTAACTCATCTTAGAGGGAACGCTGATGCTAGAAGCTTTTGGCTTTCATTTGTTCCTGTTTAAGAATTCATTTTTTTTCCTTAGTAAGAATTATGGGTAATTTGAAAAACTACGTGCTCTGTCAGTATCTTGCTTTTCTTGTGAAAAAAAAGTAACAGTGTCAGTTTTGTTTACATTGACTTTTGGGGGGGACTGCATGCCAACAGATTATTTTATGACTGTTTACTTTTAACTGTGATCTTCATAGGTCTTCAGGAAGTTTATATTTCACTGTGGATTTTATTCTATCACAGCAGGTCATCTAGCATTTAGTTGTGATGTTTCCAAAGAAGAAGATGTTCAAAATACGTTTAGCCAAATGGAAAAGAGTTTAGGTTCTGTAAACTACCTGGTTAATGCTGCAGGTGTCAACAGGTTAGTGTCTGCATTTAGTTTGATGTAGTGGTGAAGTGCGCAAACTCTAATCTGGGAGAACTGGGTTTGATTCCCCACTCCTCCATTTGCACCTGGCTGGATGACCTTGGGCAAGCCGTAGTTCTGATAAGAGCTGTTCTTGAAAAAGAGCAGTTTCTGTCAGAGCTCTCTCAGCCCCACCTACCTCACAGGGTGTCTGTTGTGGGGAGGGGAAGGGAAAGGAATTTGTAAGCTGCTCTGAGACACCTTTGGGTAGTGAAGGGTGGGGTATAAATAAGAGAACATAAGAACATAAGAGATGCCAATGTTGGATCAGGCCAAAGGCCCATCCAGTCCAACACTCTGTATCCCACAGTGGCCAGAAATACCAGTGCCATCAGGAGGTCCACCAGTGGGGCCAGGACATTAGAAGCCCTCCCACTGTTGACCCCCCTCCCAAGCACCAAGATGACAGAGCATCACTTGCCCCAGAGTCCCTATCTATATCTTGTGGCTAATAGCCACTGATGGACCTCTGCTCCATATGCTTATCTAATTCCCTTTTGAAGCCGTCCATGCTTGTAGCACCCACCACTTCCTGTGGCAGTGAATTCCATGTGTTAATCACTCTTTGGGTGAAGAAGTACTTCCTTTTATCCGTTCTAACCCGACCGCTCAGCAATTTCATGGAGTGCCCACGGGTTCTTGTATTGTGAGAAAGGGAGAAAAGTACCTCTTTCTTTACCTGCTCTTTCCCATGCATAATCTTATAAACCTCAATCATGTCACCCCTCAGTCGTCGTTTCTCCAAGCTAAAGAGCCCTAAGCGCTTTAACCTTTCCTCATAGGGAAAGTGTTCCAACCCTTTTATCATTCGAGTTGCCCTTTTCTGCACTTTTTCCAAAGCTATAATATCCTTTTTAAGGTGTGGTGACCAGAATTGCACACAGTATTCCAAATGAGGTCTCACCATTGATTTATATAGGGGCATTATGATATTGGCTGATCTGTTTACAATACCCTTCCTAATAATCCCCAGCATAGCATTTGCCTTCTTTATTGCAGTCACACACTGTCTCGACATTTTCAGTGAGTTATCTACTACAACTCCAAGATCTCTCTCTTGCTCAGTCTCTGCCAGTTCAGACCCCATCAATGTGTATTTATATTTAGGATTTTTGGCTCCAATGTGCATCACCTTGCACTTGGCCACATTGAACCCCATTTGCCATGTTGACGCCCACTCGCCCATCTTTGACAGATCCCTTTGGAGTGCCTCACAATCCTCACTGGTTTTCACCACCCTGAACAACTTCATATCATCCGCAAATTTAGCCACTTCACTGCTTACTCCCAACTCCAAATCATTAAATCCATTCTTTTCTCCTCTTCCTCTTCTTAGTAGCAGTCAACAGTGATTTCTTTTGAAAATGTCAAGTGTGCAAGTATGAACAAGAGAAAATAATGTGTTTATTTTGCATTAGAGCGTTAATTTATTTGGTTTTATCTTAGAACGTATAGGACAGTTCACAACAGTACAAAGAGTTCATCAGCTCAAAAGATAGTCCCTTTGAGTGTGCTAGGACTTACTACCAAGGAGGTATTTTTACAACTGTAGCTTCAGGTGTGATGGTGTTCATGGGTTGAACTAGAACATAAGAACATAAGAGGAGCCAATGTTGGATCAGGCCAGTGGCCCATCCAGTCCAACACTCTGTCACACAGTGGTCAAAAAAATCAGGTGCCATCAGGAGGTCCACCAGTGGGGCCAGGACACTAGAAGCCCTCCCACTGTTGCCCCCCCCCCCAAGCACCAAGAATACAGAGCATCCCTTGCCCCAGACCGAGAGTTCCTATCTATACCTTGTGGCTAATAGCCACCAGTGGACCTCTGCTCCATATGTTTATCCATAAGAACATAATAGAAGCCAATGTTGGATCAGGCCAGTGGCCCATCCAGTCCAACACTCTGCCACACAGTGGCCAAAAATACCAGGTGCCATCAGGAGGTCCAGCAGTAGGGCCAGGACACTAGAAGCCCTTCCACTGTTGCCCTCCCCCCCAAGTACCAAGAATACAGAGCATCACTGCCCCCAGACTGAGAGTTCCTATCTATACCTTGTGGCTAATAGCCACTGATGGACCTCTGCTCCAGATGTTTATCCAATTCCCTCTTGAAGCCATCTATTCTTGTGGCCGCCGCCACCTCCTGTGGCAGTGAATTCCGTGTGTTAATCACTCTTTGGGTGGAGAAAGACTTTCTTTTATCCGTTCTAACCCGACTGCTCAGCAATCTTATTGAGTGCCCACGAGTTCTCGTATTGTGAGAAAGGGAGAGAAGTACTACTCCCTCTGGGCTGTTTTGGCACTTGAAAAGGTGCAGTGGGGCTCCTCCCCTTGTTGTGGGCCCAATCAGGATCAGGCTGTTGCAGCATTTTAAATTGCCCAGTTGAAATCTTGGACACTGTCGTGTCTAGCTTGGCTTTTAGTCTCTGAACTGATCTGAAGTTGAATGAGAATCTTGGGTATTTGAGGGCTCCTTATTAAAAGGGCTGCGATGGCTCAAGTGGTTAAGATGCTGAGCTGCAGACCGGAAGGTCGGTAGTTCAGCAGTTCGAGACCCGGGTGCTGCATGACGGAGTGAGTTCCCGTCTCTAGTTCCAGCTCCTGCCAACCTAGCCGTTAGAAAGCAAGAAACTGCAAGTAGAAAAATAGGTACCACTTTGGTGGGAAGGTAACAGCATTCCGTGTGCCTCAGCATCTAGTCATGCCGGCCACGACCACAGAAATGTCTCCGGACAGCGCTGGCTCTTTGGCTTGGAAATGGAGAGTCGGATTCGACTGGCTTTCGAGCAAGGGAAACCTTTACCTATTTACATTGCTCTCACCATCAACGATGGATTCTTGGATAAACGTTAAAGTGTTACAGTAACTTACACCATTTGAGGTAAAGGTATACAGATGCAGCAGGTAAAGGTATACAGATAGAGCTTTTTAGGGTTCCCTGATCAAGAAAACAAAGCATTGACGATATTAGTCCTTTAATAAGCAATGTTGGATGTCTTTTCAGATGCACAAACCCAGAGTTAACTCCTCAGGATGTACACTTCTATGACTCTCTAAACTTATATGCTGATGGACAAAAATGTATTATCAGCAACATTAGCTAAAACGATCATAGGGCTTTTAGCGTATTCTGTTATTGGATGGTAAAGAACGTTGCCGGAACACGTTGTCCCGTTTTGTTATTGAGTTTTAATGACAGTTTTCCAGGAACTGATGGTAACCTGAGCCATGTTTTCAACAGGGATGGCTTGTTGTTGCGAACCAAGGCGGATGAAATGCTATCCCAGTTTCACACTAATCTTTTGGGAACCATGTTGACCTGCAAAGCTGCCGTGAAGAGTATGATTCAACAGCAGGGCGGCGTGATTGTTAACGTAGGTGTGTCTCCTGAAGCACATGTGATTATATTTCATTCTCTCTGGCAGCTCCGTCCTATTGGAATCAGCTCCCTAGCGAGATCAGGGACCTGCGGGACCTTCCACAGTTCCGCAGGGCTGTGAAAACGGAGCTTTTTAGGCAGGCATTCAGATAGGAGCGGAACCTTACCAGCTGCACCAGAAGTGACCTAGTGCAGTGGCACCGCTGAACGTGTCTCCAGTTGCACTTTACTGTTTTGGATCACCATTGATAGTAATCGCACTTTACTGTATGTGATCACCATTGATATTAATGCTTTTAATTGATGCATCTGTAATTTTATAAGACGTATATTGTTTTATTAGTTTCATGAGAGCTGCCCTGAGCCCGCCTAGGCGGGGAGGGCGGGGTAAAAGTCAAATCAATCAATCAATCAATCAATCAATCAATAATGCTTATTTGTGTCAGGTTCCACAGCCAACAACTGAGTACACGCTTATCAGAAAGGTTATACTTTATTGCAGAGCTATAGATGCATTAACAAAGTCACTGTTAGGAATGGCGTCGCCCCTAGAAGCATTATGGGATATAGGGTCTGAATCCCAGACACTACACACCACCTGCAAGGCCATAGATAAGCAAGCATTACAGAAGCCAAGAAGGAACGTGGTGTACTTGTTTCACATATAGACTATGGGGTACAGCAAATAGAGTATAGTAAATACAAAATAAATTGCTGAAAAAGTTCACAAAAATATAAAGATGTAATACATTTCAAATATCAAAGATGTAATTTAATATTTGTTTTCCAGCAGGTGCTAGCAGGTATACAGCACAGGAACAAGGACGAACACTTCTCGAGTCTATCTGCGTTCGTTTCGAGTGATCTTTCTCAATCTCCTATCAACAATAACAAATACAATATAATAGGAAACAAGAAACTCCAAAAAGTCTCACAAATGACTTAAATACAACTTAATAAAATTGTGAAATAATACATACAGTCTTCAATATTCAATGAACTTCTGCAATTCAATGCACCACAAGGGTATCCAAAACATTCTGTCAATTTAAACATAATAACAAATATTAAATATAGTTAATGTTCAATAAACAAATCAACAGTCCAAAATAAAGGTGGTCATCCTGAATACTATATATCAATAACTCACCAAAATGGCTCACACAGCTCCTACACACTGATTCTTTTACATGGACAAGTCAGTCTTACTAGTTAATTGGAAGCTTCCTCTATAAATACAAAGTGCATATCCGGTTTGGGCAGCCAACTGACCAGAAGAGAAGGTAAGTATGTCATAAGTTGGCTCCTACACACTGATTCTTTTACATGGACAAGTCAGTCTTGCTAGTTAATTGGAAGCTTCCTCTTTAAATACAAAGTGCATATCCGGTTTGGGCAGCCAACTGACCAGAAGAAAAGGTAAGTATATCATAAGTTGGCAACCAGCTATTTACAAAGAGGGTAAATATGTGGAAGAGTATAGAACAAAGTATATTAAGAATAGAGAATCTCATGAAGGGTTTAAGGAACATAATAACAGGCAGGGATATAGGAGGGTGTAGATTCATTCTCCTAAAAAACATGATAAATCAAGGGCAGCATTGAGACCAGTGGGATATTCTGTTTTTAATACAAAAGTCCAGAAAGCCTCTCTTTGCAGTAATATTCTCTGCATGTCACTGTGTGTATAAGGTTTGGGTTTCACCACTTCCAAGACTACACATTTAAAGTCATTGGGTCCGTGGCCCGCTATATCA